TCTCTCTCTCTCTCTCTCTCTCTCTGTCTCTCTCTCTCCTTTTTCTCTCTCTCTCTCTCTCTCTGTCTCTACCTATATATAGACTGCCTTTCCTTCTTTCCTCCGCCTCACTTTCAGTCTCTATCTATCTACACCTGTCTCCTCTCTCATCCTCTCTCTGTCAAATGTGCTTCGTTGGGACGGCTGTCATTAAGTACGCTGTTGCCAAAGTACGTTGTACAAGGTTTACAATCTCAGTATGATGGTTCAGAATGCAACAAATACTGCAAATGTTTTGCACATTACAATATTATAGAAAATATACACAATAATCACCATTTAATCATTAATGGTTTCATTGTTAAGGTCATTTATCATGCAAAAAAAGTAAAAACTGCAGGTACTCAAATGTGAGGATTTGCTGCTTTTCTCTTTTTCATAGCATTATAAATATAATATATAAAGATCTTTAACATTTTGATGGGCCTTTCTTCACTATTCTCTGACAAATAGACTAAATGATTAATTGATTTCGGGGGTGGAAATGAGCTAAAATAGCGTATTTACTCAATACTACTATTTTGAGCTACTTGTGCTTTACTTTCTATTTAATGCTACTTTATACTTCTATTCTACTTAATTTCGGGGGAGAAATGTTGTACTTTTACTCCACTGAATCATCTGAGATTTTATATGAAAAAGATATATGATGGATTTATTAAATACAATGTATCGTTAAAGATGAAATCAGCAGTGACAATAAGCAGTGTTTCGTTGTGGTTTCTTCATTTGAATAACCGACAATTCACAGTATTTAACAGAAACAGCAAAGTATACAGAATAGGAATTAATACACATTTGAGTTCCAGGACTATTTTCGTCAATCCTGCCTCCTATCCAACGCCTCAGATTTACCCTGTGATCTAAACTACTAGCCAATTACTAACTGAGTCTATATGAAGCAGTTCTAATTAGCTCCAACTCGACAAGCTACAAAAGTAAAATGCTGTCTATTTATGCATCAGTATTAACAATCTAATGATGTTATGTATAATGATTTTACAGTCAAAGGGGCCATTTTACTGCAGAACAAGTACTACTGCATTTCACACATAAGTACATTGCTCTTCTTGTATTTGTGTACCTTTACACTACTATCATTTTAAACGCAAGACTTTTACTTGTAATACTTTTACATTGTTGTATTTCTCTGAGTACTTCCTCCACCATCATCAGCAGGTTAATCACCAATGAAAACAAATATCAGTTGCAGCCCTAAAATATCGTACATTGTAATAATGAGAGAGCTTTGAAGTCTGAGAGCTTCTCCTGTGTTTATACGGGCTATACGAGTGCTGCTCAGTCCCTACCTGTACAACATACTACCATACTATTTAGTACGCCATAAAAAAAGATTTGGTATATCCCAATACTGAGCAGGTCAAATGCAGTATGCCAAAATTACCAAGATGTCCTACTGCATCAGGTTGCATTTTGCAGTGTTCAAACCAGCAATGCTTTTCTGGCTACTCCGTAAACTTTATGAAAGAAGTAAAAACTCATGTTTACAATGTTTCCTGAGGTAATAAATAAAGTGAGAAGTAGAGTCTTTTTCTCACAGACTTTTATACACAGATTTATTTTTGCTACTAGAGGAGAAGTCGCCCCCTGATGGCCATTAGAAAGAATGCAAATTTAAGGCAATTCCGCATTGGCTACAAGTAGAGTTAAAAGAGGAGATGCGTTATATCATTGAGGTTTAACACATTCTGGGTCAGAATAGCCAGAAAAGCATGCTAGCTTGCATCCGGCCAAATGCGACCGGATGCAGTAGGACATCTTTGTATTTTTGTCATTTTGCATTTGACTACATACTGTGACATACTAAACGCACAGGCAGTGTCAGTCTCTCTTCTGCATTGACAGGTTTGTCTGCGTCCACCATGCAGTCTCAATGGCCAGGTTGTGATCACTCACTTTGTATTTAGGTCTATTCAGTGCTAAAAACTTTTAAGTTTACTTTGTGTTTTTGTAGTACATGTCCAAACAACTGGTGTACTGTTTGATCCAGATTGTGTGAGGGTTTGTACTGCCCTGTCACTCACTGTAGTCTCCACCTGTCTCTCTCTCCCCCCCCCCATCAGCCACCAGACGTCAATCACAAATCGACCTTTATTTGATTAATGCCTCATTTCAGGATCCTCGTCAAGTCCCCGCTTCGCTGCACACGGTCACTAAAGGTGAACTCTCTTAAAAAGAGCGTAGCCGTTGCATCTACATTTCAAATCACTGACTGTACGGCCGCGCCAGAGATGTGATCGGCCTGCAGGTTGAGCACTGCAAACGTGGTCACAGTCAGATCAAGAGACCTTTAAAGCTCTGTTTATGAAGAGCTACCTGACATTATCAATTTTACCCGCAGTGACTGTGTCCCCTTCAGCTGCAGCGGGTGACAACTGATCAAACAGTATAGCCGTGTTAGTCTCTGTCCATATATCACCGTGTGTGCTAGCGTGTGCTCTTTGTGTGCCCAATTAGTGTCAAATGTGACACCGTGGTTTGATATCTCAACTCAACAAGCACACTTTGATGAGATCACTGCGAGCAATAACAATAAGATTAGCACACAGAAACACAGTCGATTCACGATCCTGGTGTGAGCTGGTTATAAAATCCCTGAAGCCATGTAGATTTCTCTCCCTCGCTCTCTCTCTCTCTCTCTCTCTCTCCCTCTGTGTAGAAATGATTCAGCAGTGGGCAAGTGAAGTGCAGACGTGCATGCAGTATCATGCGATAGTTTGGGAGCACTTCTGTGATGGGTGAGCAGAATTGTTGGACCATGCAAACACAACCTCCCTTTTTCATTCCTTCAACCGCCTTCTTAAAAAGGTTGTCGTTGCGATACTTGTGCATAACCAAAAACATGTTGATATCCAAGTCTTCTGGGTCGGTCACGTGAGATGACAGAGGTCCCAAATGAGCCCTTTTCCCATAGAGTTACATTGGGGAAAGAGATGTTTGTCAGCGGATCATTTTGTTTTTCAGGTAAACCAGCTTCGATGGAGTTTGACCAACACGTCTGCCTCCATCAGACACCACCGGTCATAATGTTCTGTGATGCCATGTTCCATTTTCCTCAGAAACAACACTGACTATTCATTATCACCCAAATTAGCTTTAACTTGCAACTGAAGTCCTTATCTGATTTGTTTCTGAAGAACTGAACTGAGTAATGTCACACCTATTGAAGTATAAGGGAGATTATAAAAATACATTACACCTTACATCGCTTCCTCTCGGCCTGCTGGTTGGTGACACCTCACTCCTGCAGACTAAACAGGCTCTGACAGTAGCTGCATGTGTGCATGTGGATGCATACAGTATATATATGTGTGGAATGTGGAATGAATATTCCACTAATAACGTAGTTTACATGCAGATGTGCATACCTCATAACCGGTGGTGGACTTGTTGGACCATGCAAACACAACCTCCCTTTTTCATTCCTGCATGTTGATATCCAAGTCTTTCATAGTGTTTAAAAGCAGGTGTGTTTGTTCTTCCCAACAGAAACGTGGGCTTTTCTTTTCGGCGTGCATCTCTGCAAACCAATCGGCTAGCTCGGTGTACAACTCACAGAGCCGGCCGTAAACAGGCAAGAAACCGCGTGTCGTAAACTAGGATGAAGATGCATATTCTGAATGCGCTGTATGTCCAAAGAATGCTCCTGAAACCGGAATAATATTGGAATATCACACGGGACTTGACAGGAAATGCTAATGTTAATTCCAGATACTTGATGTCAGTGTGAACTTCACACCTGCTCATGTCGGCCATAAGTGCATAAAAAAAGCAAAAAGTGATGTATGAGAGAACAGAGGGAGGAGGAAGTGACACTTTACTACTATAGGACGTAGATTCAACGTTCGTCTTTAAGATGGAACAAGTTCAGAGACGAGTAGAAGAAGCAGAGAGACAAGAGACGGAGAGGAACGATGGCTGAATTCAGATGGATTCAAATCTCTTTATTTCTGATTCTGGTGCCTCAGTTTACAGGTAAGAATACATATAATGTGTATATGACGACAGAAACATTAAAAAAGCTTATTTATTAGTATCATTAATGTTATTTTATTGCCTAACCTTCATTTAAAGAAGACAGACAAGTAGTCTGTTTGTTTTCCATCGAGGTGAATAGTGAGTTTAATGAACTCTTAGAAACCAACGATGAGGCACATTTGTAAACTGTTGTTGAATCTAAAACTATCTTCACACTGATATTAAAAGTCATGTTTTTATTTCTCTCTCATATTCTCAGCAGCATTCTTCATGGGACTCTTACGAATACGTTTATTCTCCGCCATTGTCAGAGATGGAGATGAAGTCACTTTGCCTTGTAACAGTGTGATAGATGATCATAAGAACTGTAACTCTACTGAGTGGCTCTTCACTGATTCAGCAGAATCAACAGGAGCAAAGCTGGTTATAAATGGGACGATTGTTGAAGAAGCCAACGCTAAATCAGACAGACTGAGTGTTTCAGAGAACTGTTCTCTGGTTATAAAGAATGTCACAGAGGAAGATGGTGGTGTTTATATCTTCAGTTCAGGACAACAACATGCTCTGGTTCATCTGGCTGTTTTTACCTGTGAGTATATTTACATCATAATGTTTCCAAACTGTCTTGTCAGAGCAATATACTGAAACATTATAATAATCATGATTATAGTGATGAAGTTACTCTTCTTTCTCTCACAATGTCTTCATCTTCTCCAGTGACTGAACACGAGGACAATGATGAGGTGACGTTGAACTGCTCTCACACGACATATGACCAATGTGTACGAACAGTGAAGTGGCTGCTTCATGGTCAAGATGTTGATGAAGACAACAAAGACATTAAGACGTCACAGTCTCACTGCACCGTCTCTCTGACGTTTCTGACTTCTTATTCCAGTTACACATCAAGGTTTAATTCATTTAAGTGTGGAGTGACCGAGGGTGACAAAGTGCACCAGTTTTCTTTCAGAAATTTGCCCTCAGGTGAGAAAACAGGTGAGAACATTTTAAAGAAAGTGACCTATGCTTTTCTTCATGGTGTGTAATGTTAATCTGTTCAGGTGAAGACGCAATAACAGCAACAACTGAGTCAACACCAACTGAAGACGGCAGAGAAGCAGCTAACACCACGACACCTTCTGCAATCAGTGACGCTTCACCAAAACTACAAAGTAGTGACTCAGCATTTTATCTTGTCTTTATCTGGAATCTCTCTTCCTGTCTTTTTCTCTCTTCACATTTAAATATTTTATTTCAGTGATATATTTGTTGCAAATTAGGTTTTTATTTGTTCTGCTCAAAATAGAAAGTGATCGATAATAATGAATTGATTTATTTTCGAGATGTCAGTGAAAGCGTAAATAATGCTGAAGTGCAAGTTTTTCTTTGTAATTAAAGTCAGACGGGTTTAATCAGATCGGGTTTAAAATGCCTTTTCTCTCATGTTGATGAATGAAATCAGTTTATCAGGTAAAAATACAACTTTGCATTTTCATACTATTTTCTGAATTGTATAATCTGTAATATCTCTCTCACTCTCCTCTCTTGAAGTTTAAAAGCTGTAACGAAATATTTTTTTATGTCATTCTGGTTCCAGGCTGGTGGAGGTTCATCTTTGTGTCTGTTGGATTAGCAGCACTCATAATAATAGCTGTGGCCGTCAACATGTGGGCAAGAATTATAGGTGAAGAACATCCACATATTAAATATTAAAAAAGAGGATTTTTACTGTTGAAACTAAAGTCGACTCTTTCTTTTGTCTCTTCAGAGAAGAAAACACAGATGGATCAAATCGCTGTGAGTTTTTTACAACCTAATAATGAAATGTTTTAGTTTTTACAGTTGGCACTCTTCACTACATTGTTTTATACAGTATTTTCTCACTGAAACACTAGTGGCTTTTAGCGGTTCTTTACTTCTATAGAGCATTTCTATTGCCTCCACATGGCTCTCAACAAGGGCGACAGCTGAGCCGGCGGCTAGAAGCTAACAGTGCTAACAGCCCTAAACATGCTAACAGAGCCAAAACTGCTGACAAAGCTTTCAGTGTTTACATGAGGTCCCCCTCAGATTACAACACACACAGAGGGAGACATTACTCCTCTAAATCTTTACATAGAGAATAGTTGTTTGCTGCTATATTAATGCTCTGAATATTAAATAGAGAACCTTCAAACAATGCAGACAGTTTGGTTTTATCTCAAGAATTAACGTCCATGTTACTCTGGATAACGTACAGAATGAAATCTAGTTCCAATGCAAACTGTCCAGCATTAAAATCAGATTAGACAGAAGCTGATGCGTTCAGGGTCTGCTGACTCAACTGTGAAAGTGTAATTTAATGTTCTGTGTGTCTTTACTTTAGTTGTTATTTCCTTATGATAAGTGTGGAGCAGTGGACGCCTACAGATCACAGAAGTGGGATTGGAGAGTGTGGGTTTGATTGTGTTGTGTTGTTCCTCACAGGTGCGTTATGATGGAGAAGATGATTCAGTGACCTATGAAAACATCAGACATCAGAAAACATCATCCTCCATCAGACTCCACTGATCTACTCGTCATGATTTACATGAGTGGTTATAGATTGGAAATAAGAAGAAGAAAATTGTCACAACAAACGTCAATGATAACTACACAATACATGACCTAATTTGACCCCAAATGTGATGCTAACGCTAGCTGTTGTGGTTAGCTCTGTTCTGTGACCAACATATAATGTTTCAAGTGCAGATCAGCTTCATTACCATTTCCATCGTATCCCAGCTGCTGCTGATCTCGAGCCATATATTGTCCTTTATTGGGCTGTTGAGGTCGTCGCTGTGTTTCTGGTACAATATTGGGTGATGAGAAACCAAATTGATAAAACATTCCCTATTATGGCAGCAAGCTGCATGGAGCTGGTGGTATGGCATCTCTCGGAACAAAGGTTTTCATTGGTCAAACATATTTCAACAGGTGGAAATCATCTGAAATCGAGGTCCGTCAGAATATGTTCCACAGTGGTGATGAAGCATTCATAAGAACCCCCCAAAAATCAGTGTTTGTACATTTCTGTTAATATTTTTCAGATAAATTCGTGCTTGGTGTGAAATGTCTTTTATTATTTTATTTTAGTCCAGTGTCTTTTCCTGCATCAGTTGTAAAAGTGTTTCTCATCTGCAGCCCGTTCAGAACACAGCAGCTGGATTTTAACTTCATTTAACAAGAAACAACATTTGACTTTTGTTAATTTCCTTAAACTGTCTCCCAGCTGAACATTTCACAGCTGATTTTAAGGTTTACTGCTTGTTTTTGAGGCTGCAGCAGCTTGAGCTCAGTTTCTTGTCTCTGTGTACATTTTAACCCACCTTCATTTAGCATTAAGTGTTTGAATGTGTTTTCAGACTAAACACAATCAAAGACTTTGGAAGCATCAATAAATCACATAAAATATAATAAGTGTTGTCCTCTGTTTGTTCAGTAATTCCTTTCAGGCACAGGTCAGTGCCGTCTTCAGCTTTATAACCCACCGGATTATCTTTGGAACTAATAAACTCATTTAATCTAACCAGGAGAATTCTCCCTCTGACTTTTGACAGCAGGGTTAAAGCTGCGGGCCTGTGATTATCTGAGCTGCCTGCTTTACCAGCTTTGTCCGTAATGACTGGCACCAACAGAACAGCAACATTGATCAGTAACAAGCCATGAATCATAAATTCATCATAAAATCCTCTACTGGCTTATTACTTACTTTAACCCTTTGTAGTGAACTGTGTTTTGTATTTTCCTTCATTCTCTAGAGTAATTATAATAATGGCTTTCATGATGGACGGTGGATATTCACACAATACGGAGGTCTTGTTAAATTCATAATTGTTATTAATTGCTATTATCCATTCATATCAAATGTTTTATCAAAGAGAATTTCAAAAGTGTGGAAGCTTTTTGGTGAGATGTCACAGACCGATTGACAAGACAAGAGCAGCTACAACGCAGTCACACGGCAGTTTGTGAAATAGTTATGAAATGCAAACTATTGGTTTCCTGTACAGGGACAAGAAATATCCGGTTGTTTTCCATGTCACGCGGCACGACTTGTTTTCGACCACAACGTTTATTATCATTATCTGATTAGTTTCTGAAGAACTGAACTGAGTAATTTCACACCTGTTGAAGTATAAGGGAGATTATAAAAATATAATGACTTCGCTTCCTCTCGGCCTGCTGGTTGGTGACACCTCACCCCTGCAGACTAAACAGGCTCTGATAGTAGCTGCATGTGTGCATGTACATGCATATATGTGTGTTGTGTTTGCAGACCATGTGCTTGTATATTTTATGAGCATGTTTGGATTTTTGTGTATTCCTGCATGCATGTGTAGAATCTTTGTTACATCCTGTTTTATTTTGGTGTTTCCTGTTCGAGGGTTGGGGTTGTTGAGGATCTGCTCTCTCTCTCTCACTTCTGCGATGGCCGAGCAAAATAACGCGGCCCACGACCTCCCAACAGCCTCATGTCCTCCATTACCAGAAGCCTGAAGAGATAACAAGATTAGCATAAGCACTTTTAGTAAGTCAGTGTGAATGGGAGCCTTAAAGAGGCTTAAACTGTCCCCCCCCCCCCCTCTTCACCAGCAGCTGACAGATAGTTGGGAGTTGACCGGCACGTTTGATTGGTTGCTGTTCTCTTAGAGATCTCAGACGCTGGCAAATCAATGGGAGATCCATCATTGGGGGACGCTCGGTGTACAGACAGAGCAAATCACTTCTATGAGCGAGAGCAGCTATCAGGCAGAAAATGGTTCCTAATGGTGCCTGGTATGTCTGGTGTAAACTGCAGCCAGCCTCTTTGTCGTCCATCACCCCGGAGCATATGTAACTGAAGGAGGGGAGGCGGCATGGAGAGGAGAGGAAGAGAAGGAAGCATCTGTTCGTTTCAGCATGGGAACCCCTCAGGGGGGCCGGGTGGGTGGGGGGCAACGATAATCTCGGTTCACGTCAAACCAAATCTGGTGTCTGGTGTCACTTAGTGAGTGTCAATCAGTGGAAGTCACTCAGTCAGCACCCCCCTGTTGTGTGACCTTCACTCAGCCGACTCTCGCTCGTTTTCTGCCTCGGCTTTGTCAAAATCCTGTTGGTAATTGAAGCACAGTTGACTCAAAGGCTGAGATCATAAAAAATGAATGACTCCAGCTCTTCGCTAAACCCCTGAAATCTGCAGAGTCAGGGCAAGGTAAACACCGGCTTCACTCCCAAGAGGGGGAGTGAAGTAGTTTTTCGGGTACAGCTCTTTAACATCATAACGGGACACTAGGCAGAGTTAGTTGTCGGCTTTAATCACGACTTTTTGACTCGACAGAAACAGTTGTTTCTGAGTAAACAAGTAAGTCTTTAGTTTAGGTTTGACCATTTCAATTATCTCCCCCTTTGCCCAGACTGCTGTTTTCCCAGAAACAGTAATCACATTCACTATTAATGAGCCATGATGTTCATCCTAGACCCATTTACTCTTCTCAATAATGCATACTCTTTGGAATTGCCTGTGCATATTTTACACTGTGCCACCTCCCCCTCTGCGTGTCCCCCCCTTCCCCCCTGAGAGGGATATCAGTGGTGTTTTGGTTTATCTTGCCCCAGGCTCTCTCTACATGTACTCCCAGGGATAATGCTTGCCAGGGGAACAATGTCTCATGCGTGTCTCTGACTAAGACTGCCTGCTGCGCAGAGATAATGAAACACCGAGCTGCCGCATGAAGAGCAAAAGGTGCTAACACACTTGTTGAAGGACCTCAGTCCTCTTAGATTAAGCCTTCGTATTACCCCTCTCTTAACTGTGATTTTAATAGGCTCTTCGGTTTGTGGAAATAGGCCCAACAATCTCTTTAAATAAGACAATTGACCACAAATTGAACACATCACTGCCCCGATGTGATTTTCCCCACGTCATGATTGTCATTAAAAGCAGGCAATAGTGCCATCGGAAACCGTGTTGGTTTAAGTGCTCCGTAAAGGGACTCGTCCTGTCAGAGCCAAGTGACACTCACACAAAGGAATGAAAAGCCTATTAGCAGTGACAGCATAAAATGGATTTAATCAGCAGAACAGTGAGGCTGCTATTGAGATGAGAGGAGGTTAGGGGGGGGGGGGGGGGGTTAATCAAAATGCTTCTGACGGTCACTCTGACCCCGGTGGCATTTGAGCAGCATATCGAATCAGCACAGGCTGATGAGGGATCGGCCAGCCTGTTTGTAGAAGGCAGGTCAGCCTCGCAGAGAGATTGGCAGGTTCAGCTCTCAAGTGGGCCAGTGGGGGGGTTGTTTCTCAGGAGCAGAGGAGTGAGTCAGCATGATGCAAGACAGTAGACAGGAGAGGAGGGGGTCAGATGGTGGTGAGTGGAGGAGGACGACCAGAAAAAAGGTCAGGAAACACATGATAGGGGTTTGGAAAGCGGGTCAGCCTTGTGCAGCGTCGTGAAGGGGTGGTTCGGATCTGGCCACAGGGCTGGGTTAGTTAGGTTCGCTCTGCTCTGCTCGTTGCCAGACCTCCAGCCAAGGTCTATCACCCACAGTCACCCCGCCGTCGCTGCCTCCTCCTCCTCCCCCCCCCCCCCTTCTCCTCTCACCCCCTTTGTGAAGGTGCACTGAATACCGAGGAGCCAGAGGCTGCACGGCTGGCTTACAAAGGATGCTCTTTTCTCCGCCTCCTGCACTCCTCGTTCTGTTTCACTCTATATTCTCTCTCACTCCCTGTGCCCCCTTCCTCTCGTCTCTCCTTCTACATCTCTGAGCTGTCTCGCTTTCTTCTCTGCACCTCTCTCTCCCTCTCTATTTCTTCATCCTCACCCTCACCTCTTCGCCTCCCACCCTCGTCGCCGTATTTGTTTCACAAAACCTTCCATCTACTCCTCTCTGCTTCGCCTCCTCTCCTCCTCTCTCTTACTCTCTCTCTCTCTCTCTCTCTCTCTCTCTCTCTCTCTCTCTCTCTC